GCCCTCCGAGGGCAGGATGGTCTCGGTGGGTCTGGGGGCTTCGGGGTCCTTGAGGGACTCAAATCCCCTGAAAATGCCCCAAATCTGCCCCAGCCCTCCGAGGGCAGGATGGTCTCGGTGGGTCTGGGGGTTTCGGGGTCCTGGGGGGGCTTAAACCCACCCTAAACTGCCCCAAATCTGCCCCAAATCTGCCCCAGCCCTCCGAGGGCAGGATGGTCTTGGTGGGTCTGGGGGTTTCAGGGTCCTGGGGGACCTTAAACCCACCTTGGTGTGTCCTAAATCCACCCTGGTCTGCCCCAAATCTGCTCCAAATCGGCCCTGGCCTTCTGAGGGCAGGATGGTCTCGGTGGGTCTGGGGGCTTCAGGGTCTTGGGGGAGCTTAAACCCACCCTGATCTGCCCCAAATCTGCCCCAGCCCTCCGAGGGCAGGGTGGTCTCGGTGGGTCTGGGGGCTTTGAGGTCCTGGGGGGGCTTAAACCCACCCTGAACTGCCCCAAATCTGCCCCGTCCTTCTGAGGGCAGGATGGTCTTGGTGGGTCTGGGGGCTTCGGGGTCCTGGGGGAGCTTAAACCCACCCTGATCTGCCCCAAATCTGCCCCAGCCCTCTGAGGGCAGGATGGTCTCGGTGGGTCTGGGGGCTTTGAGGTCCTGGGGGGGCTTAAACCCACCCTGAACTGCCCCAAATCTGCCCCAAATCTGCCCCAGCCCTCCGAGGGCAGGATGGTCTCGGTGGGTCTGGGGGCTTCGGGGTCCTGGGGAAGCTTAAACCCACCCTAAACTGCCCCAAATCTGCCCCAAATCTGCCCCGGCCCTCCAAGGGCAGGATGGTCTCGGTGGGTCTGGGGGTTTCGGGGTCCTGGGGGGGCTTAAACCCACCCTGATCTGCCCCAAATCTGCCCCAAATCTGCCCCAGCCCTCCGAGGGCAGGATGGTCTTGGTGGGTCTGGGGGCTTCGGGGTCCTGGGGGGAGATTTGGGGGTTCTCGGGGGGTCCTAAACCCACCCCACTGGGAGCTGTCAAAGGGCAGGGTGGGATCAAGGGGCTTG